AATTGTTAGTAATTGCATAAGAATTCGGTTTGTTGCAGCCACAGTGGGCCAAATGGGCTTCTTAAGTAGAGACCTTTAGACACATACAAATATGTACTTATATACATACATACATATAAATAGTTGATACAATTAATTATAACTATATATTTGTCTTTTGTTTTCGATACGTTGGTATGTATTTTTCCGTATATTTGAAACGTTGCAACACGCATGTACGAGACATATTGTAAAATTCAAATTTTCCATTTTGCGAACACATTGAAAATATTTTGTTTTTATATTTAAATTTAACTTTTTGTTTATTTTCAATACACTTATAAGGTAAATCGTAGTTTGTCGGCAGGTGGATAGGAGTTTTCATTAGCAATAAGTCTATAATTATGCATGTATTTTTATTTAATTATTTTTGTTTGTATGTATGTATGTCTGCTTGTATTAACCGACCTTTATTTTATAATTGATTTATTGCTAATACAAACATTAAAAATTCATTAACTTCACAATTCAATTGAATAGGTTGTAACTGCTATTTGTATTGTAGATTTTTCGCTATTCAATTTCATTTCCTTGTTTTACTTCCATACGTTTCGAAAATTATTTTTTTAAATTTTCTTTTTTGGTTGCAAATGCAAAACATTGTGTTGTAGCGCGTTCCCTAAATACTCGTGATTAATTTTGTTACATTTTCAAAATCTATTTGTGTAAAACTATCTACAAAAGGGCAGTAAAGTGTTTGATTTTTATTTGATAAATTATTTTTTCTTTTATTTTTACCTTCTTTAATTCTTTAAATTTTTGCAAATTTTGTTGTTGATGGAGTTATTGTTTATTTTCTAAAAACTACTACATAATTGTATTATACTTATACCGCTAGTTAATGCATGAAAGTTAGGGTGGTCCTTAAAATATCAACATTTTTACTTTCCTTTCTTCTAAAAAAAAATTTTTTCCAGGGTTTGAAAGAGTTGTAACTTTTTATCGCGAAAATTCTACAAAAATTTTACTTTGACCTGTTGACGAGTTTGTGAATTTATTTGAATAAGCTTCAATATTATACCAAATTTATCAGCTGTCAAGTAGAATCTTGTTGTCGAATTTTTGCAATTTTTAAAAAACGACTCCTAACATTTGTTTTTTTTTCATTTTTAAATTTTCGTGCATGTCCTTATTTTGTTCGTTGAAGAAAATAAAACGTTGCTCTGTACAAAATTTAGTTGTTGATATTTTATGGACTACCCTAATTAAAGTAAATGAAATGTAGACATTTGCGGTATTACGCTTGTAAAAAATATTTGTTTCTTAATAAAAAAATATGTAATTAGAAAATGTCGTCAACGCACTTAATGAGTTAATAATTAATTTATTAATTTTAGCTTAAAGAGAGTTCGTGCCATTTAACTTTCAATGCGCATTCTACTATCCGCTCATTACATCAAACCATACAAATTTACATGCGTTCCTTGCCTTATTGACTAGAAATACTGCTATGCTATTCGCCCCCAAATATACCAGTTCATCACAACATTTCTACATCTCCATCCCCATCTGCATGTGCCATCTCTTTCTTACATTTATGCATGCTTGCTCTCCTTTTCCCATTGCCACTCCTCCCATCTCCTTCACCACTCTCCACTTCATTTGAATCGCAGACATCAGGCCGTTGATGGCGGTTTCCCAGTCCCACAGCCGCCATTGCTATTTACTCCACCCGGCGCTAGACTGGCAACGCTTCCTGCTGCACCCGCCACAACAACGCCATTCACTCTATTCTCCGCACTACCACTATCTCGCTCCCGTTCTCGTTCCCTTTCACGTTCGCGCAATCGTCGCAAAGTGGACGTCGTCGTCGGCGCGGAGGTGCTAAGCGCACTTGTACTGCTACTCATTAGGCTGCCAATGCTGCCGCTTACCTCCGCCGCACCCAACATGCTACGTCCACTTACAGCGCGGCCTGGCACAATGATGTTGTTCGTTAACGTTGATGAGACTCCGTTCGTTGCCATTGTTGCGTTGTTGTTACCACTGCCAGCGCTACTGCCATTGCTACTCGTCGTCGCTCCACTGCCTCCACTACCATTTCCAACTACAACGGTTGCTGCTGCCGCCGCTGCAAATGTTTCGGCTATCGTCGACAAAGGTCATAAGTTCGTTGTCTGTACCAGCCCGCGTTCGAGATGGAAGCATTCCAGCACCGCTGCACCGACTGAGCTGCGGCGTGCCACCATCGAATTGACTACAGTCCATTTATTCAGGCGCGTATCGTAACGCTCCACAGAATTTAGCGAGGATGAGCCATCATTGCCACCGAGCGCATATAGCGAGCCATCCACCTCGACGACTTCGTGTGTGGATCTGTGAAGAAATAAGAAGCCTCTTCAATACACACTCTAACCCGGTTATTACCGTACCCACCTTCTGGAATGCATCGTTGCAATCGGCTCCCACGCGTTGCGTCGTAAATTGAATCGCTCCCCGCTAGACATACACATCGTGCCATCATTGCCGCCAATGCAGTACAAGTAGCCATCACAAGAAGCCACACCGCAGCTACTGCGTCGCGCCGTCATGCTTTGCACGGGAAACCAACGTCCAACGCGTGGATCGAAACGCTCCACACTCGACTGATAGTTGGTCGAATCGAACCCGCCTAGCGAGTAAATGCAATTATCCAATACAGCTAAACGGCAGTAGCGGCGTCGTGTATTCATTGCCGGACACGAACTCCAGATGGCCGTCAATGGATCGTAACGCTCCATGCTGCTTAGACACGAGGCGCCATCGTAGCCACCACAAACATACAGTAGTCCATCGTAGGCGCAAATGCCTAGACAGGAGCGCTTCGTACCCATCGGTGTTATATTAGTCCACTTATTAATCAACGGATTATAGAATTCGGCAGTGCTTAGATCGCTCACGCCATCATAACCACCGACAACATAGAGCTGCTTGTGTAGCGCAGTCACACCGGAGCGTGAACGTCGCCACAGCATTGGTGCGATGGGTGTCCAAGCGTTAGTGCGCGGATTATAGACCTCGCACTCGTTGTGAATGGCGAAGAGGCTGCCGCCACCCACAGCGAACACATACGATTTCATACCCTCCGGCCGACGCTCTTGTGTGCGTTGGCTGCTCATCAAGCTGCGCTGTTCTGGCAGTAAATGGTATTTCATGGCTTCCAACAGAAGTTCCTTGCACTGGCCGTCCTCTCTTATGAGTGTCTCTGTTTCGACGCAGGTCATAAGGAAATCTCGTCCCACCAGCGGCAAGCGCACGTGGCTCATCAATTCGGCAATGTGACACTGACGTTCAGCTAGATCGTGTTTAACCCAATTTAGTACAGCTAGAAAAAACTTTCTCTTCGGAGCAAATATTCAGTTGATTATTTGATATCAGATCTCTGACCTGTGGCGAAGTGAATGATGAGTGAAAATGTGTACAGAGGAAAAGGGGTTTAGATATTAAGAGTTAAATTGTTATGCAAGTGCATATGTCTGTAAATTGGAATGATTATTACCTCGTCAAAAGGTAAAAGCAAAAACTCCTCGGTTCCGACGACTTGTTGGAAGTTTTGTAATGCATACTTATGCGAGCGCGTATGTAGCTCCTTGCAAGAATGGGCATCTGAAAAATTAAAGACATTAGAGGACATTGAGGAAAGATAGATGCTACAATTCGAGGAATATGTATGTAGTAAAAGTCATGGTTTTCCAAGTTATCATTCTATTCGACCTGCGCCGTTTCAATGCCAGTAGTATCCTTGAGATATCCAAGCACATAAAGGTAACTGTAAAATCTCAAACGACCTTACGGAGTTTCCTACAACCATTTATGACCCGTCTTTAGATACAGTTGGGGAAAGAAGATCAATCCATGTTTACACGGATGAGCAAAAAGAATTGTAGGTTTTGTTTATTTGGAACAATTAGGTATATCATTCAGCTTCCGCCTTTCTGACTATAGCAGTGTTTTTTCAGGCGGAACTGATGTCTGTCTCAAAAGCCGCATCACTGACACAGTATGGTACTATTCCTATTGATGATATCTACATTTTCACCGCAGCCTGGCGGCTACTAAAACACTGTAGAAGACTTCAAAAGTAGTTTCTCAATGCCGCCGAGCTATTGACGAGGTGACTGAGACATTCTGCACACACATTGTCTGTGTACCGGCCATTGCAACATTCAGGTAAATTGCAAGGCTGACGAACTCGCGCATCATGGAACGACATTACCTGATGCAGATATAAGGTATACTCTTGACATTGCTCTTAAAACATGTAAATTTTTACTGAATGAAAAATACATAGAATTAATTATG